TGTCTTTCTTGGGGTCCTATTTTCTAGGTAGCCTCCCTGGAGTTGTGAGTAGCAGTCCAGTCATCCTTGTTCCACATCTAGTATCCTCCTATGAGTGAGTACATACCATGTTTGTGTTTCTGAGTCTGGGTTACCTCACTCAGGATGATTTTTTCTAGATCCATCCATTTGCCTGCAAAACCCATGATGTCATTGTTTTTCTCTGCTGAGTAGTATTCCATTGTGTATATGTACCACATTTTGTTTATCTATTCTTCAGTTGAAGGGCATCTAGGTTGTTTCCACGTTCTGGCTATTACAAACAATGCTGATATGAACATTGCTGAGCAAGTGCCCTTGTGGTATGATTGAGCAAGAGTGGTATAGCTGGATCTTGGGGGAGATTGATTCCCAATTTTCTAAGAAAGCGCCATATTGATTTCCAAAGTGGTTGTACAAGCTTGCATTCCCACCAGCAGTGGAGGAGAGTTCCCCTAGCTCCACATCCTCTCCAGCATAAGGTGTCTTCAGTATTTTTTATCTTAGCCATTCTGACAGGTATAAGGTGGTATCTCAGAGTTGTTTTGATTTGCATTTCCCTGATGATTAGGGATGTTGAACAATTCCTTAAATGTCTTTCAGCCATTTGAGTTTCCTCTGTTGAAAATTCTCTATTTAGTTCTATAGCCCATTTCTTAATTGGACTGTTGGGCATTTTGATATCTAATTTCTTGAGTTCCTTATATATTCTGGATATCAGTCCTCTGTGAGATGTGGGGTTGGTGAAGACCTTTTCCCATTCTGTAGGCTGTCGTTTTGCTTTGTTGACCGTATCCTTTGCTCTACAAAAGCTTCTCAGTTTCAAGAGGTCCCATTGATTGATTGTTTCTCTCAGTGTCTGTGCTACTGGTGTTCTATTTAGGAAGTGATCTCCTATGCCAATGCATTCATTCCTACTTTCTCTTCTAGCAGGTTCAGAGTAGCTGGATTTATGTTGAGGTCTTTGATCCACTTGGACCTAAGTTTTGTGCACTCTGACAGATATGGATCTATTTGCAGCCTTCTACATGTTGATATCCAGTTATGCCAGCACCATTTGTTGAAGATGCTTTCTGTTTTCCATTGTACAGTTTTGGCTTCTTTGTCAAAAATTAAATGTTTATAGGCGTGCAGATTAATGTCAAGGTCTTCAATTCGATTCCATTGGTCCACATGTCAGTTTTTATGCCAGTACCAAGCTGTTTTTATTACTGTAGCTCTATAGTAGAGCTTGAAGTCAGGGATCATGATGCCTCCAGAGGTTGTTTTATTGTACAGGATTGTTTTGGCTATCCTGGGTTTTTTGTTTTTCCATATGAAGTTGAGTATTATTCTTTCCAGGTCTGTGAAGAATTGTGTTGGTATTTTGGTGGGGATTACATTGAATCTGTAGATTGCTTTTGGTAAGATTGCCATTTTTACTGTTTTAATGCTGCCTATGCATGAGCATGGGAGATCTTTCCATTTTCTGACATCTTCTTCAATTTCTTTTTTCAGGGACTTAAAGTTCTTGTCATATAGGTCCTTCACTTGCTTCGTTAGTGTTACCCAAGGTATTTTATATCATTTGTGGCTATTGTAAATGGTGACATATCTCTGATTTCCTTCTCAGCCTGTTTGTCAATTGTATATAGGAGGGCTACTGATTTTTTTTAGTTGATCTTGTATCCTGCTATGTTAAAGCCACACATCTTAATTATACCACTCCCTATGAGATGATGGGGGCCAATTACATTCAAACTACCACATTCCATTCCCTGGTCCCCATAAGTGACAATATCGTATTGTAAAATACATTTAGTTCAACTTCAAAAGATCCCAGAGTCTATCACAGTCTCAACAATGTTTTAAAGTCCAAAGTTCAAAGTCTCTTCTGAGATTCATGCAATCACTTAACTGTAATCCCGTGTAAAATCAAAATAAAAAAAAAACAGATCACATGCGATCACATACTTCCAAGATATAATGGCACAAGACACACATTACCATTCCAAAATGTAGGGAAGGGAGCATGGTGAGGAAATACTGAACCAAAGCAAGACCAAAAACCAGCTGGGCAAACTCCAAACTCTACATCTCCATGTTTGATGTCAAAACACTCTTCAGATCTCCAACTCCTTTCAGCTTTGCTGACTGCAACATACTTCTATCTCTTGGGCTGGTTCCACTACCTGTTAGCAGCTTTCCTCAGCAGCTATGCTATGGCTCTGGTGTCTCCAACATCTTGTGGTCTCCATGGCAATCCAGGCTTCACCTTCAGAGCTTCATGCAATGGCCTCTCTAGGACTCCATTTAGGGATACCCCTGACATGTCTGGCCTCAGTGGCTTTCCTAATTCACAGAGGCAAATTCCATAATCCCTTTCTTCTATTTTTAAAACCAGAACTATGTGACCAAAGCTGCCAAGTTTTGCTGCTTACTGGGGCTGGAACACAGCCCTATTGTTCAATTACATCTTCACCAACTTTGTTTTTGCTGCCTAAGCTTACTTGTCCTGAAACTGGAACTGTAGACCAGGCTAGCCTCAAACTCAGAGATCTGCCTACCTCTGCCTCAGGTATGCTGGCATTAAAGGCATGCACCACCACACCTGGCTCTAAATTTTTCTTTAGTTCCTTTTCACAAGTTGGAAACTTAACTGGGTGGGATATTGCCCTGAGGTCATCACTCCCTTTATTCCATTTCTTTATTTTTATCTCCTTAAACACAGGATTTATCACTATTCCACTTCCTGGTGCTCCTTTTCTCCTCAAATTGTACATTTTTTATTTTTCCTTTCTCAGATTGCTCCTTTTCATTATATATCTTCATTTGAGTTACCACTAATATCCATACTACAGAGTCTATACTAAGCTGTTTTGAGATTTCCTCTGCCAGTGGAATTAATCCAAACCTTAGCCCCAGGCAGAGTCTTCTGACAAGGACAAAAAGCAGTCACACTCTTCACCAAACTATCACAAGAATGATCTCTTGGCCATATAGCATTATCATTCTCCTCTGAAATCTCTTGAACGAGGTCCTTACAGTTCATCAAATCATGCTCAGCAGCATTGTCTTCCATGCTCCTACTAGTATGGACAATTAAGCAACATTTAAAGTATTCAACTGTTTTTCCAGTCCACAGCCCCAAAGTCCATATTCCTTCAAACAAAAGCATGGTCAGGTCTGTCACAACAATACTCCAGTTCCTGGTATCAACCTCTGTGTTCATTAGGGTTTCTATTGCTGTGAAGAGACACCATGACCATAGCAACTCTTATAAAGGAAAATATTTAGTTGGGGCTAGCTGTAGTTAAGAGGTTTAGTCCATTATTATCATTGCCAAGTGTCATAGTAGCATGCATGAAGACATGGTGCTGAAGAATGAGCTGAGAGTTCTACAACTTGATTCATAGGCAGTGAAAGCAACTATGTGCCACATGGAGTAAACTTGAAGGAGACCTCAAAGCCTGCCCCACAGTGGCACACTTCCTCCAACAAGGCCATACATACTCCAACAAAGCTACACCTCCTAATAGTGCCACTCCCTATGATCTTATGGGAGCGATTATATTCAAATTACCACACAGGTAAAGAGTAAATGCTTCTTTCTTCCAACAGAGGGTGTGGCCAGATTAGAGATGAGTTTTCCTAGCTCAAAAGATTTATATTAAAGGTGTGTATTCCTACCTCAAAGATCTGGATTAGAAGTAACTTTTCCCACTTCAAATTAAGCAAAAATTCCTTACTGGTATGCCACTCCATTTTGGGGTTTTAGTTAATTCCAGATATAGACAAGGTGACAACCAAGAAGAGTCATCACACTAGGCAAACCCTTGAGCAACTAAGCTTTTGGACCTTATGAAAGCTTTATGGTTTTAAGCCCTCTTTGTAGACACTTGACAGTTCCCCCAACACAAGACAGCTATCTTCAGAATGAACAAGCTTAGATATAAAGAGGAAGATTCAGACTCCAAAGTCACTTGTTGTCACCTTATTGTGTTTATTAAAAACAATAGAATGTAAATAGGATCTGTCCCTTAAAGGGAAAAATATCAAATTATTTGGGATATATTTTTAAACAATCACAATATGGACTGGACACATGAAGATGTGTAATTACTGCTACTTTTCCTTAGGATGATCACTTAGAAGTGAGGTGATTAAAAAAAATCTGTCATTTTAAAGACAGAGATAAATGGATTCTCCTTAGCTTTTATTGAGGAATCATCTTAATAATGAAGAAGTACTTGGAGCAAAATGGCCTAATACCAAGCAAGAGAAAGAAATAATGACAATATACTATTTGTACTTGTTTGTTATGGGGGGACCATATAAATATTTACTTAATGATTTTTCTCAACTTCTTCCTAAGACTGGAAACTCTAGAGAAAAAAATGTGAGGTAAATGTTGCACATTAAGTTTTCACAAAATATCTTGCCTGACACATGCTAGGTATTGTGGATAGGAGGCAATACTCAGAATAGGTACAAATTAGGCAAAAGGCACAAACTCCTGTATAATAAGAAAACAGAGGTAATGAATAAAAGGAAACAAGCAGGTAGGCTGAGAGGTTGAATTACAGGGAAGGAAAGGAGAAGACTAAAACAAAGTGTGAGAAGTATTATTACTGATGGGATATAGAAAAGGCCACTTTATACAGAGAAAGGAAAGCCCACATCCATTGTGGTAGGAATGTAAATTGCTGTGGCTATTATGCAAAGCAGTACAGAGGGTCTTCAAAAGCAATCACATCACTGAATATGTAAGTTCCAGGGTTTAAATTGATCTTTTAGTTAGTTGAGTGTTTTGTTTTGTTTTAAGGAGTGCCTCAATATATATCCCAGCTGAGACTTCTTGCAGTAGAGCCCGTGCTACCACCACCCATTCACCATGTCTGGGCAAGGGGCTGTGGATTAAAAAATAGAGACAAGAAACAGTGAGTCATTCGCCACAGCAGAATGCCGAATGCCATTTATTGAAGGAGGGAGGAAACCTTAAATACAGGCTTATAGCACAATGGAGGATTCCCAGAGGGCAGAAGTTTGCTACCCAATGTTCTACATTCTTGCATCTAAGCTGTTTACACCAAATGCAGGATACATGAACAAAGAACCTCCGGTGAGCATTCAGTAAGAAGGAAACCAGCAGGGAATCAGCATAGGGAGGACATCTGGTCGAGGTCAGCAAGCAAGGTGGCAGCTACTCACATTGGGGGGCCAGGGCCCTACAGGTCCCCCCTTTTTACTAAAAAATGAGCTTCTGACTTAGGTTGCATGGGACGTCAGCAGGTCACCTGACCCATCATGGAGACACCTGCCCAGGCCACACAGGTGCTCTGCCTTAGGTTGGTAACCACCCCCAAGGCATTACCCATCTCTGCATACTCATTATCATACAGACTGAACCACGTGAGCTGTAGAGTTAACTGCTGCCAAAGATCTCAAAATGGCACTAGGCTTGCAATCTGTGCAACACAGAAAGACCAACAGAAGTCCTAACGTACCCATAGCCGGTAGGTTAAAGGCAATTGAATCATTCCCTTCCTTAACGAGCCTTACTGCAAATTGGAGTCCTTGTAAGGTGGTATCCCATAGGCAAGTGGAACTTGAGTTTTATTAATTTTACAACTTTCAAAGCCAATTGAAATGTATATAACTCTTGAATTAAATTTATCATGCCCAATAGAATGAAAGATTAATTAACTGTGGTAGCTACTTTTGCTGCCAGGGTCTCCATTGTGCTAGCTGTAGTAACCAATTATGAAATAGCAATCCCAGAAACAGTAGCAGCAGTGGCCACCACCGCTATAACAGCAACAAGGGCAACAGCGATGTCAGATTCTCTTCTGGAGTGTGTGAGCATCATCTGTGTCTAACTGCCATGGTCCACTGGCATGGATGCAGCTCCAGGAACACGAACCACCAAGGCCCATTTTTCTTGATCCCAGCATGACTTAAGCTGGCAGCTCTGCAAAAGAACAACTAAGAACCATAAAGAAAAAAAAAACAGATGTCAAACAAGGAGCAGAACTAATGGTCTCATAATGGCTACATTCAGGCTCACAAATTTTAAGGTAACTTCAAAAGAGGCTAGATGAATTTCAGGAGGCCAATAAAAGTTGCACAGAGCCACTCCTGAAAAGTAGGTACTACACCAGTTTGAAGAGAATTGCAAAAATGAAAAAGGCTTAGCTGGCATGCTATTGTTAACAAATGAAGGTCAGTGACCTTCAGAGTTATCCTTAATCTCCAAGGTGTCTGGGTGACACATTCTCAACATTTTTGAAAAAAGTTACCATACATTACCTTCTGAAGAATCCGAACACATGGCTACAGTTCCTAGCCTTACATTAATGCTTGCCAAGGCTGGCCGTATTAGGCTCTCAATCCCCATTGGCATCAGAAGGGGAGAGTTTTTCACGAAGGTTCAATAGGTCTCTGCCATGTTGGGATTCAGCAGCAGCCACAGGGCACACACAGCACTCAGGAACCCAAAAAGGCACCTCACTGTCCTGTGGAAAGACACAAACAGATCCCCAGGCCCATACCAACACCAGATCAGGTCCCCTCCAAGTGCCAGTAGAAAGATCCTTCCATCACACCAGAGGATGATTTGCAACAGGAGCCCTCCAGTGCTTATCTGCAGTGGATACTCCAGTAGAATCCACTGATAAAAAATTTAAAATATATAAAACAAGGGAAAGAATAGAATGTGGAGAGGAGAGATGAATCCCTAGCTCCCTCCTTTTTACTTTAGCAAAATATGTTTTTAAGGTATGATGGCAGCATTCTACTATAGCCTGTTCTTGAGGATTATAAGGAATACCAGTCTTATTAACAGTAGAAAAATTTTGGCAGAATTTTGAAAATCCTGTACTGCTGTAGGCGAGACCAATATCAGTCTTTATGCATTTTGGCATTCCCATATAAGCAAACGCATGAAGATAATGATTCTTTACATCCTTAACCTTTTCCCCTGAATGGGCAGAAGCAAAAATTAGAGAAGAATATGTATCAATAGACACATGGACATATTGTAATTTTCCAAAGCAAGGCACATGTGTGACATCCATCTGCCACACATGATTAGGTAAAAGTTCTCAGGGATTAACTCCCAAATGAGGAACAGGTAAAAATTCAACACAAATAGGACATGATTTAACTATCTGGATGGCTCATTCCCGAGTTATGCCCGTATGATGGTGAAGAGATCCAGCATTAAGATGATAATGTTGATGCAACTGAGTAGCCTTTTCAAAGGCAGAACAAATTAATGTGACAGCTATACAAGTAATGGCATCAGCCTTCTGATTACCTTCGCTTAGAGGTCCAGGCAATTGAGTATGAGCTCTAATATGGCCCACATAAAGGTTATGTGAGCAGGACCATATGAGTCCTTGCACTTGCAATAAATATTCAAAGGCATAATGGCATGTGCCACATATTGGCTACCAGTATAAATATTTACACTCTCATCAGAAAGCATTTGTAAAGCAAGCAACAGTGCCTGTACCTCTGCCATCTGGGCAGAAGTGCCCTGGACTTTCATTCTCTTCACTATGTTACCAGAAACCACCACAGCAAAACCACGTGAAGTGCCATCAGTAAATACCACATGGGCCTGAGGAATAGGAGTCATCTGTACTATCTTGGGAAATATAACAGGATGCAATTTAAAAAATTGACACACATCATTGGAGGGGTAGTGAGTATCAAACTGACCCTGCAGAGAGCATGTCAATATGGTCCAATCATTATCATTAGCTTGCAACCATGCTATTTGAGACTGGGTGTATGGGGTCACCACAATATCTGGCTCCTTACCAAAGGTTTGAACACTGATCTTAATTCCCTTAAACATAATCTGAGCAGCAACCTGAGGATAAGGAGTAATAGTTTTTGCTGGAGAAGCTGGGGAATGTACCCATAGAATAGGACTTGTTTGCCAAAACACTCCAGTGGGTGAATGAGTAAAACAAAATATTCATGACCTAAATAATGATAGGGAAAAGATACTTGTACTTTTTGGGGGCTATTTGTAAATTAGCCAGGCTAAGAACCTCTTGTAATTTAGAAAAGGCATCAAAAACAAGTTTTTTAATCTTTAGCAGTCATAAAATATAGTCAATCACAATTAAATATCAATGTTTAGGAATTGCCACAGGGGCTGGCAAGCCAGGCTGTGTTGCTCCCATGAGAAGCACGGTTTTATTTACAGCTCTAAGATCCTGTAATAGTCTCCATTTTCCTGACTTCTTTTTAATAAGAAATATAGGTGTGTTCCAAGGTGAAGTGGAAGGAATGATATGTCCAGCATCTAATTGCTCCTTAACTAAAGTGTTCGCAGCCTCCAATTTTTCTTTAGTAAGGGGCCACTGTTCCATTCATACAAGGTCATCACTTTTCCAAGTGATTTTTATTGGTTGTATTATTGAAGGCTGCTGTGCAGTGACCCCTATGGAAAAGACCCTAATCCTCTAGTATCTCCAGGACATCTAGTGACACAGCTTTTGTCTGCCACAGGTAGTGGATCTCCTTGCAACATTTTCCCTAAGCCTCTGCCGGGGCAGTAGCCCTGACTCTTCAACATCTGTTGTACAGACTGTGTAGTAAGCACAGCTCCCATACCATATAACACATCCTGTCCCCACAAGTTCATTGGAATGTCAGGTAGCACAAAGGGTTGAAAAGTTCCTATATGACCTTCGTCATCCTTCCAATTTAAGAGTAGCCTGCTCTGTAATGGCATCTGAGCTGTGCCAATACCTTGTATGTTAGAGGTGGAATTTTTAAGGGGCCAATTGGGATCTCAGGATTCTTGTGAAATTATAGATATATCCAGCACTGGAATCCAATAATCTTCCAATCTCAATACCATATAATTTTATTTTTAATTTAGGCTGTTTATCATTGATAAATGTCTGTCAAAACACCTTTTTTCCTGTACTTCCAAAGCCTCCAGTTCTATATATCGGCACCATTTTGCATTTAAAATATGAAAGCAATAATAATTGAGCAATTCTATCACCAGCTTCTATTTCCATGGTCCCTTTTACATATGCCAATTATAAAAGCATTAAATACAATCTCTATAGGATTTGAAGAGGTAACTTTAGGTAATACTTTTGAGTATTTTTATAAAATCTTAAAAAGAGGATCCGTTTTTATAGATTTCAAGTAACACATTAGCACAAATAGCCAATTATTAACAATGTGGACCAAACAATTTATCTGTACTTTATTTACTGGAAAAATAATTTTGTAACCTCTTTATCAATAAGAGATTATTTTTTATGGGTTTATCTTAGCAATATTATTTAATAAGCTAACAACCCAATCCATTTTCTATAGAATTCTAGAAAGCAACTTAAAGAGCAGAGCCAAATTTCCAGTAATGATCAACAGACAAGAGCATACCTAATATATAGTTCAAAATTATGAATCCTGTTCCTCTAGTTTATCTACCATGAAAATCAAACATTCATCCATACATTTATTAAGACAATCAAAAGAACAGAACATCCTTTATTCAAACAGCATTGACTTAGCATTCCATGTCCTGACCGAAACCACTTTTCACCAGAAGTTGGGCCCGTTTAAACTTTTAGCGCTAGTCCCTCTCCTGGCCTCTTCTTGCTTGCCCGCCTGCTTCTCTTCTCCTTGTTGGCCTCGCAGCTACACCTCCCACCTGTGTATACCTGCCCACCCGCTGTTCCGGGCCATCTTGCGCACTGCTGCAGCATGCCCCTTTGTTCACTGTGCAGGCCTGCACACATGCATTTCAATTTAAACTTTCTCTTACTTCCATGAAGGTATTACCTAATAATGAGTTATTCCCACCAGAAGGGAAAAACAGGAAAACATTTCCCATGAAGGGATCCTAAATATTGAAATATTCCCACTCTGAGGGAAAAATAAAAAACATTTAAACCAAAATAAGCAAACAGACAACAAAACTTGAACCTCTGGTCTTGCTAGCTTGTCCATCCAGCAACAGTGAGGCCTACCTGCTGATTCTTTGTAATTCAGATGCTGCCACTCTGTGCTGGCAGGCAGAAAGAGCTCAGAGTTTCAGCTACCCTGAAAATTCTAAAATTAGAGAGTCTTTCCTTTCTCCATTACCACTGGGAAGAGACTTTTCTCTTTTGCTCATCCTTCCTCTACAGGGCCCCAATCTTTAGGCCTAGTTTCAAAATTTTTCCTCTTTTTACCGGGAAAATTCTTTTTACTTGATTAAAATTTTTCTCCCTTTTCTAATGGGAAATTTCCTTTCCTTCCCTCTTCTCTATTGGGAAGATTTCCTTTTTTATTTAAAATCTTTAGCCCTTTCTTAACTGCAGTGGTACCCTATTTGCACCCATGACAATTCACCCTTACCTTTTCTTTTTTCTTTAAAATGCTGGCCAGCCTTACCTTTCGGGTGTCCATCAGTGACATCCCTTCTTTCTCAGATCTCAGTAGAAACTCCATTTGTTGCAGTAGTGCCCACGCTACCACCACCCATTCACCATGTCTGGGCAAGGGGCTGTGGATTAAAAAATAGAGACAAGAAACAGTGAGTCATTTGCCACAGCAGAATGCCGAATGCCATTTATTGAAGGAGGGAGGAAACCTTAAATACAGGCTTACAGCACAATGGAGGAACCCTGGAGGGCAGAAGTTTGCTACCCAATGTTCTACATTCTTCCATCTAAGCTGTTTACACCAAATGCAGGATACACAAACAAAGAGCCTCCGGTGAGCACTCAGTAAGAAGGAAACCGGCAGGGAATCAGCATAAGGAGGGCATCTGGTCGAGGTCAGCAAGCAAGGTGGGGGGCCAGGGCCCTACAGAGACTGCCCTTAAACTCATGATACTCCTGTCTCAGCCTCTTGAATGTTAAGATTACAGACATGTGCCACAATATCCACATGAAATTAGTATGCTGGAAAGACACCTTTATTCACATGTTTACTGCAGTACTCTTCACAATAGCCAGCTTACAGGATTATGCTATGTGCCTACAGACGGATGAATGAATAAAGAATTTGTGGTACATATAAATAATGGAATATTACTTACTTATAAGAAGGAATGAAATTATTTAATTGATAACAACACAAATGGAAAGGAAAGACAAATACCATACAAAGTTCAACACAAAGCAGTAAAGAGTAGACTAGTAGCTACTAAAATACACAGAGAAATTGAAGATGGTTAGTGGATACAGAGGAGCAGTTGGATAGTAAAAACAACATAATCATCTAAAGCACAGTAATAGAGCAGTATATAATAATAGTTAATTGAATAGTTTTAATTAGCTAGGAGAGAAGATTTTGAATGTTTCTATCACTCAATAATTATATGCCTGAGGTAATAGATACACTAATTACCCTGATTTGATCATTACACATTGTACACATGTATTGAAATGTCACACTGTACCCCATAATTATGTACAATCACCATGTGTGTGTTAAAAATAAAAGCATATTTTAAAATGAAATAGCCATTCTCCATACTCAAAATTGGATTCCAATTTTAAAGGCCATTTAGAATTCCCAATTTGTTGAAATTTTGATGAGGAATAGGCCACTTACACAGCTTCAAAATATGTTTTCAAAATTATTTTTTTCTCCAAAGAGAAAAAATGATGACTTTAAAGTTGACAAACCTGCAAGATGGCAATTTAACTGAATAGTCAAAGTCTAACATCACCAAAATTGTGACCAAAATTAACATCTGCCTCTCTAATCCAACATTACTGGCAGACATTCTGACCAATGTTTTGGACAGCCTATAAATGAACTGGCATGTACTCTGCAATATGACACAGAGACAACAGACCAAAGCATGCTGAGGAACTATTACAGACCAAAGGTGACTAAGAGGACACAATGACCAAAAGCAATGTGCAACACAGAATATAATCAGGATTTCAAAACAAACAAAAGTAGCACTGAAGGTCATTATTGGAACAACTGTGATATTTGAATGAGGAATGTAGATTAAGTAACAACATTATATTAGCATTGATTTTCTGATTTAAGATTGTTTTACTGTGATTAGAAAAATTTCATCCAAGTAAATTTTCATCAGTTTACCTGAATGAAATGGAATCTAAGGGTAGCCAAGTATACCTCTGTGGCACCAGAAATTATTGATATGTAGGACAGCAACTGAAGAGGACAGACATGCCTTGCATGGGGTTACACCATCCAACAGGCTGAGGGCCCAAGTGGAAAAGGTTTGAAGAGGAAGTCAATGTATATGGAAGCAAGCCCCTTTTCTTTGTGAGTGAGTTCTCTACTTCCCCAGTGTACAATCAACCATTTCTGGACTACACAGTCCTTATTGTGTAAGCAGAATTTCTCTTTAAAAATTTCTTAGTTCTGTTCTTCTGGAGAACCCTGACTAATAAAGAAAAATAATGGGAATGGGGTAGAGAGACTGAGAGTGAGAGAAAAAACAGAAAGAGAAACACAGAAAAATAGATGAGGCAAAATGTGAGCAACTTGCAACTCTGTGCAAAGAGGGGGTGGGGGGCTTACATTATGAAGCATAAAATTTTATCAAGACAAATGGCCAAAATTTATAGTTTAGATAAGTGTCCTCCAATGGTTTGGGTCACAGAATGTGGCATTATAAGATGATGGAGCCTTTAGGAGATGGTGTCTCATAGGTTTCAGGTCACTAGGAATGTTCACATAGGATGGGATTATGGAACACAAATATCTTCTTCTGTATATTTCTCAGTGTCCATGAGATAAGCAGTTTCCTATGGTGATATTTTATTTGTACTGAAATGTGATTTTATTTGTATGTTAATAAATAAAGTTGCCTGGGGGTCAGAGCTAATAGCAAGCCATAGCAGAGCTGGGCATTCATGGTGCATGCCTTTAATCCCAACACTTGGTAGGCAGAGCTAGGTAGATCTCTGTGTGGTCAAAGATACAACCAGCATTGGAGACACATGCCTTTAATCTCAATACCAACCATAGAAGACCTGGAGGTCTGTAAAGACAGGCAGTGGCAAGGCGGTCATGTGGTTGGGTTTACAACCAATGAGAAGGCAGAACAGAAAGTCTATATAAAGACAAACACACAGGAAATAGGTCTTTCTTGGCTGAAGAGGATCGCTGAAGCAGGAAGGGTAAGGCTCTTAGCTCTGATCTCTTGGGCTTTTATCTTTACATTGGCTCTGTGTTTCTTATTTAATAAGATGGTTACTTCTACAGTTTCCTCCACTCTGGGTGCCCACTATAGTGTGCTGCACAACCACAGGTCCAAAGGCAATGGAACCATATAAGCATGGACTAAAATCTCTGCATTATGAACTATAACCTTTCCTTCTTACAATTTGATTTTCATGGGTGTCTTGCTAACTAAAAATCAACTAATTCAGGAAACAAAAAGTTATACAAAAAAAAATCACACTTTCTCATCCTGTGTAATATCTGAAAAGCAGATCAAATGGAATGTGTTCAGATATCAGCCTGGTGCAGGATACAAGACAATCAGTAGGCAAAAGAGAATCTCATGCCAAACAAATGAATTCTTTAATCACTGAACACATTATCCATACAAACAAAATACCTGTAGTTTTTTTTTTTTTTTTTACTATTAAAAAAATCATAAGTCTGCCAGGCGGTGGTGGCATATGCCTTTAATCCCAGCATTCAGGAGGCAGAGGCAGGTGGATCTCTGTGAGTTCCAGGCCCACCTGGTCTACCGAGTGATTTCCAGGAAAGGCGCAAAGTTACACAGAGAATCCCTGTCTCGAAAAACCAAAAAAAAAAAAAAAAATCATAAGTCCATAAAAAAACACAAAACCAGAATATGTGCACAAAAACCTGTAAAATATGTGTATCACTGCATCTATGTGTTTCTTGTACCTTTTCCTTGGCTCTTTCTCTTCCATTTGTTTGTTTGTTTGTTTTGTCCTATTCTTATTTGTGTGTTTTTATTTTATCTTATTTTTCTAGGTGTCTGTATTTTAAGGAGAGAGAAAAAGAAAGGGTGTGGATTTGGATAGGAGTGGAGGTTGGGGAGGATCTGGGAGGAGTTGGGGAAAGGGAAATCACCATCAGAATATATTGTATGAAAAGAAATCTATTTTCAACTAAAAAATAGAAACAAAATCAAAACATTCCCAATTTAAAATTATCACAAGTTTAGTCAAATATTTGGAATAAATTCTGTGATAAATCCAGAGAAAAACACCTTATTGTCTTCTCATTTCTTCTAGTCTCTGTGAGAGATCAAGAAGGAAAGTTTTACAGATATCCTTTTCACTTGGAAATCTAACTTAGAAGGGCCATTTCCATAATGTCAGCATATTAAATACCATGTGTTGTGTTGAACTGCTTGACTAAAAATATTGAATATCTTTAATATTTTCAATAAAATATGGATGGGCTTTACAGTCTAGTTTAGTACAGAAAATGCAGACATTGCAAGTGGGGATGTGTATGACTTTGTGTTCCAAATAAAGCAGGTAGTGTCACACATGCCCATTACTGTATGGTTTGAGTTTAAGTGTTGATAAATGTATGCTAAAGATTTAAGAACAAGTCTAAGCCTGAATATTCTGAACTAACAATTGATACCAACTGTTTTTTAAGAACTATCACATGGCTATTAGCCTGGGGGTAGTGGGTGGCATTGTGTGAGAAAGTGTCCTTATAACTATCATTACTATTTCTATAGTGAAAATATAGCCAGCATTCAAATTAATATTCTCACCCTTGTGATTTTTAGATATAATTATTATATCTGCTTTCAAATATTCAAAAGAACCTTGCCATTTGAGAATTTGTTTTGGAGGCCAAATGTAGATTCAGGATTGACAATAAATTATTTCTAAAAGAAATCTAAAAGTAGGAAGAATATTTCATTTTATAAGATGAGTTGCTATTCATAAAGACTATAACTTTTGTCCCTTAATATTATAATTTTTTGTAATAATTACTGACATTCACTAAATATTTATAAGTGAAAGTATCATAAACACTTTAACTGGACAAAATGGATGGGGTTTTAAGAGGTGGATAATAAATATATAGACTAGCCAAGCATGATGGTGTACAACTATAATCCCAGCACTGGGGAGGCAGAGGCAGGATGATCATGAGATCAAGGCCTTGAGGTGGATAATAAATATATAGACTAGCCAAGCATGATGGTGTTCAACTATAATCCCAGCACTGGGGAGGCAGAGGCAGGATGATCATGAGATCAAGGCCTTGGCTACACAACAAGTCCTTATCTAAATCAATAAGTCACTCAATCCATCCTAATATGAGATAAGAAAGTAGACTCCTCTTTAGGTTGACTGGTCCCTAGAGCAGGGGGGACATTTATTCCCATGCTCAGTTTTGGAGGGAGATACTCTATAGCTACACAGAGAAGTCAGAGCCTAAAGGGAAGTAGAGGAGAAAATACTAGTGACACAGTAAGCAGGGGCATTCTTTCTCCTTGAAAGGTGAAGGGCCTACTCGGGTCACTCAGAGGTAGAACATTTGCCTAGCATGTAAGAG